GACTAAATCCGTGACTACAACTTTATTTTTTTGTAGTGTGAATGGACTAATGGAGTAGTGTTTGTATTTTATTTATTTGAATTACAGTTGTATAAGACTTGTATTAAAAATATTTGAATATTACGTAGCAATTAATTATCGTATTAAAGCTATTTAACAAAACAAATATTACAATATATGATACTATAATATGCAGTTTCCATTATTTTATTTTACTTATGTATGCGTATAATAGTTTGATAATGACGCAACTCCTGAACTCCCAGTCCAGTCTCCGCGATCTAATATCATAGAGGCCGCGTTGATTAATATTCCACGTTGATGATGGTATTTGAGCTGTGTTTTACAATAATAATACTCTTATAAGTATGTAGAATCTTCTAGAACTTGTATCAAACATTCAAACATAACTTATTCATATTTATGCTTTTCCGATTAGTTAATTGAGTGAATTCCCTAAATAGGACTAAAAAGTGGAAAAATTGCACAAATAGGACTACATTTTTTAAATTCCATTAATAGGACTATTTATGTGTGTTTGGACAAATATACCCTTGTAACTTGTGAAATGTTTTAATTAATAATAAAATCATAAAAAAAATAATAAAAATCGAAAAAAATATTAAAAATCGTAAAAAAAATTATAGAAAAATAATAAAAATATTTTTTTTAAAAAAAAAAAAATATTTTTTTTTTTAAAAAAATAAAAATTAAATAAAAAAATCATAAAATTAAAAAAAAACACATTACCACCCCTGCCACCCCCAACACCACCATCTCCCATCACCGGACAAAAATATGCCAACATTTTAAATAATGCCATAATGATGGCATAATCAATGAAAATGTTGGCATATTGAAGAGTAATTATGCCATCTTTTTGGCATTTTCAGAAAAATATGGCATTTTTTTACCAAAAGTGGAAGAAATTTCACCAATCGGAGGTGGTGGTGCTGGGAGGCGGCTGGAGGCGGTGAGAAAGATATCCATAATTTTTTTCATTTTTTATGGGTTTTTACTATTTTTTATTATTTTTTTAAAAAAATTAAAAAATAAAAAATTAAATTTTTTATTTTATAAATGTTTTATAATTTTTTTTAATTTTTTTACGTTTTTTAAATATTTTTTTACGTTTTTTGTGATTTTATTATGAATTAAAGCATTTCATTATGAATTAATACTCTTAGGGGTATCTAGGGTAGAAAATCAATGTTTAGTCCTATTTAGGGAATTTTAAAAATAGTAGTCCTATTTGTGCTTTTTAGGAACTTTTTAGTCCTATTTAGGACAATTTCCGTAGTTAATTTCCAAATAATTTGGATTGTTATAGTCCTGCTCCCGAATCCCTTGCATAAATTCTTAAGAGATTATTGTCTCGTATTACGCTAAAATAACTTCTTTCCTTTTATAAGAGCAAGTTACTATAACCAAAGAATATTATGTGCGCACTAATGGCACTATAGATGATTTTTACTCCAATAATTTTCTTTATGATTTTCTATAGAAAGTCAAAACTCTATACCTTCTTTAATCATTTTCTATAAATAATATACCTTTTTATGGATCTAGGCATCTAGCGCATGCTTGACACATCAAGTTTAGCACATAATCTACAACACTGTTTGTTATAACTTTGTCATTTTTAGTTATTTCAAAAACTTTATAGTTTTCACATTTACTCCGTAATTAATTATTTTGTTGTTTCTATCATTTTCTCTCATTTATATAATCATCAACTACATAATTTTACTTTATTCTCTCATTTCCTAGTACCAGTCAAATTTGTTAAAACTTTGAGGGACGGATGGAATAAATAACAAACAACGTGCATTACATATATTGATTGATTTGAAAGTAGTTACTTTCTCAATTTCTTGTGATGCTATCCATTACACTATAACTATTCCTATCAATTTCTTTATGCTATCTATTGTTTATCTGTGCCTGTTCTTTTTATAATTAAACACATAAAAAATTGTAATGGAACTTCTGTTTTTGAATTCGTTCTAACAATTTTTAAGAGAAGTTTATCTAAGATAGATAATTTCAAAGTAATCATTTTTACCAACAGTTTTTACTCAAATAAAACTTAGTATTTGTACGTATGTGGTGTCAAAAAAATACTTGTAAGTAGGACGGAAAGAACTAGAATAAATGATTGTAGAAAATAATCATTAAATAATTTTTCTCCATTCCATAATCATAAATTAATCTAGGGATAAGGGTCAGATAGAGCCTCGAACTTGAAAAAAAATGTCAAATAAGGCCATATTTAGGATGCTCTGTCCGGCCGACGTCATTTGGGGTGGTTCCCGGTGGAATTTTTTGATGAAATTTTTTGAGAATCTTATTCATTAAGTCTTGTTTACTCATATCAAATTTGAACTAACAATTCAATCGGGAAGGCATTCAAATGAATTCATGAAGATAACTGCGCTTTTAACGGCACAGTTATCTTCAAGAATTCATTTGAATACCTTCTCGATTAAAGTTTTAGTTCAAATTTGATATGAGTAAACTAGACTTAATGAATAAGATTCTCAAAAAAATTCATCAAAAAATTCTACCGGGAACCACCCCAAATGGCGTCGGCCGGACAGAGCATCCTAAATATGGCCTTATTTGACATTTTTTTTCAAGTTCGAGACCCTATTTGACCCTTATCCCATTAATCTATCATCATGCCTCCATTCTATTAACACTCATTGCCATTTGCGAGTCGGGACTTTGATTTTATGTATGTACAAATATGAGAGAAATTTTATGGAGTCGTAACTCCACTCTGGAGTTTTAGTGCATATGAGACTTCACACAAATCACTCATTTTTAGAATGAGATATCCCACTATAAAAATAAATGGTTATTGTGAAGACACATAAACAATATAACTCAACAGTGGAGTCATATAGAGTTCCATAATTTTTTTGATAAAGTTCAATAATCAGAAATCAGGAATACAGTTTAATGAATATGCATGCATTAAACTATGGTCCTTGGCCTCTTGTAATATACAATTTGTAATCCCCAACAATATTCCTGACTTCGTCACTCATAAAACTCATAAAGTTAGATCGAACCTCTAATCAGTCTAACGACTGATGCCGTGATAGATAGGGTGGCATTCAAATGTTTGATGAGCATCCATATTTGAAACCATGCAATAGTCATGTCCTTTGACCCTAGTTTAATCAACACTCGAAACTAAACTACACAAACATTTTTGTGTGTGGATATATGGCTAGATTAGAATGAGTGATATATCAAGATACACTTGAAAGCATTTTCTGTGTTTGAAAAAACGAATAACTTACTAGTGAAAAAAACGCCAATTTGCTTTTACTTGGACTGTAATTTGTCCCAGACCGGACCAGAACAGTCCAGACCAGACCAGACCAGTTCAGACCAGACCAGACCAGAGTCACCAGACCAGACCAGACTTGGATAGTTATAAAAATACAAAGAAACCAGATCTTACCAGACCAGACCAGATCAGACCAGACCAGACCAGCAAATTAAAGTCCAAGTAAAAACATCCTAATAGTGGCGCTTCTGAAATAACCGCCACAAAAATGAGTAAAAATGAATAACTCACTAGTGGTTTTGATCTACCGACCACCTCAATTTATTTTATTTACATTTTTAAAAATAACCGATGCACTTTAATTAAATGCATATCGGTTTCAAATTAATTTCAAATGTTTTTTATTTAAATCACGCGGCAGTTTTTTGAGTGACTAAATAAAGAAATTTGATAAAGTTTTGCCAGAAGAATTGAGCAAATGAAAACTCTAATTATTAGGTAATTTTCTAAATCACACACTAAAGATTTCAAAAAAAGTCACGTTAGGCAATGAAGAGAAGAGTGACGAGAGCGTCGAGAAATGGAGACGGGTGGACCGGGTCCTGACTCTTGAGGAAGGTTGATTTTTAGGAAACATGTTTCTAGATGCATGGCAAATTCGATCACCATACTTTCATGCATTCTTCATATAGTAATTGTTTCTTCCTCGAGTCTACAAAGTCTACTGAATGCATTTTCCCATTCCAATGAATACAAGTCATTGTTTTCCCCTTATCGATCTCTTCTTTGAATGAGTTGTGTTGAACTTATTGGAGATGCAAAATTTTATCGCAAAATCACGTTTCAAAATTTTTAAGTCTCAAATAGCCGGAAATAGGACAAAAGGCACAATTGTTATTTTTCTCAAAAGGCATTCACTTTTATTTTTAGGATGAAATAAAAGTACTCATATACGGAGTATATAAATCTATTTTATTCATGTTGCAATCTTATGTCTTATGTTTAATCATTTCTAAAATTTTAACTTTATACGCGGTACTACCTCTATTTAATTTATACGTAGTATATAGTTGATTGAAGTTTAAGAGTCAAATACTAGGCAATAAGGATAATGAATAGTGCAAAAATAAAGCTAAAAAGTAGAAACGAATGATGAAGAAGTATATATGAAAGATCATATTTGTGTATTTAGGTATCAAATATCATATTTGGGTATTAGGTATTCAGATGTTTTTATTTGTATTGAAAAACTCTGATCTGATATGATCTAGTCTGATCTGGTCTGAATAGGTCCAGTTTAGTCTAGTAGATGTGTGATCATTTTATAACTATCGAGAACCTGGTATAGGACTAAAACTCGTGTATGTAAACTCATCTTTATTAGATAAAAATTAAAATTTACAGAGTAATAAAAAGTATATTTGTTTCAACTATCTAAAAATGCATGCTTCCTTCGTTCTCTTTTAGTTGCAACGATACACTTTTCACGTTTGTCAACACTCAAATTTAAAATGAGAGGAACTTAATCATATTTTTTAAAAAAAATATAATTATATATTAATAAATAGAATGTTGTTAAAGTAGAATATGTGAATTGTGCAAAATTCTCAATAAAAATATAGGGATTTATTTAGTTCATACGTTGCAACTATTAAACTACTCTGTATATAAATATGGGTGGGAGGGCATATCATAGAGACTACATTTCATTATTTTAGCTAGACCTTTGACTCTTTGAGATAATATACCACATATAGGTCTCCTTTATGCCCAAAGTCTTGTGCACGTCTAAGTGATTAGTTTTCTGGCATAAAAGAAAAGTAGTAGAAGAAAATGAAGATGAGTAAACATGACGCCGGAGAAGAAGAAGAAGAAACGCTCTCCTTGTGTGATCTCCCTATATACAGCAGCAGCTCTTCGTCAGATTGGGAAAAATTCTCCTCACAAAGCTCTATTTCCTCGTCTTCAACGTTGCCGTCCGACCACTTCTTTGAGTTCTTCAGTGAAGAATGGAGCAGTAATAATAAATCAAATCTCCCTCCTGAACAAATCATCTTCTTCGGAAAGCTTATCATTCCTCAGGTTGGAATTGTCCCAGAAAAGGAGAATGGGAAAAGAGTAAAGAGGAAGCAAAGAAATGGGTCGTCATCATTATCGTCCAAGGTTGTCGGAATGAGGGAATCTGCAGAATCTTTGTCGGCGCCCCCGTTTTGGAGGTCAAGATGGTTTCAGTTCTTCTTCGGAATGGGTGGGCTTCCTAAGGAGATGGACTTGAGGGACTTAAGGATTAGGCAGAGCCGCCGTGAAACGCCGTCACCGTCGTCATCTCATGGCGGTAGAGAAAAGAGGCTGTGGCGGGTGATTAAAACGCTGAGTTGTGGTCGTGGCGGCGGTACCCAAGTCAAAGCACACGCAATTGTCCGTCAACGCCGCCCTATTGCCTGCCTAAGCTATTAGCTACTCCGTACAACATTATACTTTATTTATTGTTATAGATTAAATAAACAAAAATGATGTTTGTACCCACTCTTATACTCACTTTTGTACCCAGCTATATTTGTGAAGTGTTTTTTTTGTCTATAAACCCCGATTCACAGAAAATATTTTGCACAAACAAAATATTGTCTGTGAACCGGGTTCACAGATAAAAAAAAACACTTCACAAACATGGTGGGTATAAGGTGGGTATAAGAGTGGGTATATCAAGCATTGTTGTTAAATAAATAGATACTGCCTTCATTCCAAATTGATTTGCAGAGCCAATTATTTTTTGTCAAACGATTTCATTGTATTCACTGAATTAGGATATTAATTTTTAATTACTTCCTCCGTTCTATAATTCTTGTAACATTGTGATTTTTACACTATTCACAGATCTTACTTTGACCATGATTTTCTACTAATATACATAATCAAATTATTGCTTATGAAATATTATTGAACTCTTATCAATGTGAATTTCCAAAATATCAACTTTTTATAATGTTTACGAATACATAATTAAATATAATTACAGTCAAAGTTGTGCATTGGCAAACGTGAAAGTCAAACCGTTGCAAGAATTATAGAACGGAGGATAGTATATTTTATTTTGAATAGTGCAACTATATAGAGATTTTAATGTAGTTTCTCAATATGTTAATTAACTTTAACATTGATTAATAAAAAAATGTTGAATATACAAATCAATTTGGGACGGAGAAAGTATAAAGTAGATGCAAATTTGAGAAAATAATATGGAGTATCATGCATCCATATGTGATTTTACATTTTTACATCAACGTATATTTCCATAATTTTTATAAACATTTGCTAAATCCAACAAAATTACTCCGCAATACCCGCATTACTTTGTTCGGTTCATTCTTATTTCATCGATCACAACACAACATTTGAATATAAAGAATGAAAAAAGTGTTAAATAAGAGGTAGGTTATATGATACCCGTATCATACTTGTATTCACGTGGAGTCATGGACCAATAATCACAATGTTGTTGTTGAATTATTTAAATCTAAATTAAAAATGATATAATGATTTGGACCAATCAAGCGAATAATAGGTATGGTACCTGATGAAACGGTTAGTAATACAAGAGAGGATGAATTGTGTGTGTGGAACCGTGTTAGTTTTTCGCCAAGTTCTAGGGTGAAACGAGGAAAAATCCTTTGGCTCAAAGGGATTAAAAAACTTCGACCTCCCTCGAAAGAATTTTAACAACTTCACTAAAAAGCCTTTGAATGGTTACAAGAGAAACTCTCCTAGTCTACCCTTGAGTCGTCCCAACTTTATCCTCTCTAGGAAGAGTTATGCTTCTCTACCTTGCGAGTAGAGAGTCTCTCAGCTTTACACCAAAGATCTCACCACACACTAACCAACCCGATCAAGGATGCTATACTTATCCAATCCTCAAAACCCGATCAAGGATGCTACACACACCAAAGATCTTAATTACTGCCTTTGATTTAAATAATTTTTCTTTAAAAAGAAAAATCCTTTCTTTGTATGATCGTTGATTATTTCCTTACTAATTTTTTTTTTTAATTTAGCAAGACAAAACTGAACTTGAATAGTGAGAAAAAATATTTTTAAGCAAGTCAATAAATTCTTAGATCCGTCGGTCAGTTCTAGGCACAGGTATATAGCTTGTTCCAAATTAAAGCAAGACTTAAACTCCCTTTCCTACAATCACTTATAGATCAAAAGTAACACTAGTTGTCACCAACAAAACATTATGTTCCAACAGTACCCTATTTTCTAAATGTGTACCAGAATTGTCACCTAGCTAAGTAAGATCTTGGCATTTCGAAAAATTCAATTTGAACCTCAATTCAATTATCACCCAATTAAGCAGTTCAGTTTTTTAAAAAAACATTCAAACAACTTTCTATCCGATAACGAACATGTTCGCTAATTATTGTATACACAGCGACTCACGTATATGTTTTCAATTTTTTTCTTTATTTTTACTTTGTTGGCTGATTATTGTATACACAGCGACTCACATGGATGTTTTCACTTTTTTCTTTCATTTTACTTCTCCACCATTTGATTTAGCTTCCACCAATCCACCCGCCCGTTTCGTTAAAATCCAGCCACCCCTTCTTCCACCCACCTTTCTTCTCCCACCCATCAAGTCATTGGCCAACAATGCGCAGAGTCAAGAGGAACTTAAGTCACCGTAGAAATTTCACGTAAATATTACGCATACATAGATCACTAAAAAAGTAAAAATACAAGTACTTTTAAAAGGGAAAAGGGGCAAATAAGCCCTCAAACTAATAAAAAAAATGCAAATAAGTCCTTTTATAGGAGGTTCCGTCTGGCCATCGTACCCATTTGGGGAGGTTCTCGGTGGAATTTCTTGATGAAAATTCTTGAGCATCTTATTCATTAAGTCTAGTTTAGTCATACCGAATTTCAGCTAAAAATTCAATCGGGAATACAGTCAAATGAATTTTTGAAGATAACTGTGTAGTTAAACAACACAGTATATTTTTAAAAATCATTTGAGTGCCTTCCCGGTTTAATTTTTAGCTGAAATTTGGTATGGCTAAACTAGACTTGATGAAGAAGATGCTCAAAAAAATTCATCAAAGAATTCCACTGAGAACCTCCCCAAATGACGATGATCAGTCAGAACCTCCTATAAAAGGGCTTATTTGCACTTTTTTGATTAGTTCGAGGGCTTATTTGCCCCTTTTCCCCTTTTAAAATCTGGGAGGGCCAAAACCTAATTGCCCGCCCCTGGCACCGGACGTCTCCTTCTCACAGGTTAATCGTCACCTTTCCACGAATCAACGGCTTGGAAAATATAGTCCAATAAAAAACTTAAGACTTTTTTAGCAAAGTTTAGTACTACGTATAATACAATTGGAGTAATTGGACCCACGTCTACTTTTATTGACACCGAGCTTGTTTGCAATCACTTAATTTAAAATTTAAGTGATTTGTGACTTTTTTTAAAGAAAAAAACACTTATTTTATCAAACACTAACAACTTTTACTTTTCTCGGCTTCCGTATAGAATCTACTTTTTACTTTTTCTATTACACAAAAAACACTTATTTTATCAAATACTACCAACTTTTACTACTAATCACTTTTTCCCAAAAAATGTTTTTATTTAAGCATAATCACTTGCAAACAAAGCCTTAATCATTTTAATCAGTTGAGCTATAGCCAATGATGCAATGACCATATCAATGGTTGTAGCGGTCACCATTAATTGTTGTAACTGTATTTGATAGTTTGGTTCAAAATTGTTGAATTTTCTAAAAAATACAAACTCTATTAAGAAAGGTAATACTTCGTACTTTGTAATTGTTTTGAATAATATAAATTAAAATCAAATATAAAGTTGAATACTTGGTAAACTTTTTTTATTTCCTTTGTGATGTACTACACAAAAATGGTGAACTTGAATAATTTTCAAGTTCTCACAAGGGTTGTGTATTATCACTGTCTGGAATCAGGGACGGATCCAGGATTCTGAGTCAAGGGGGGCGAAATTTTTCGTTAGTGTAGGGGGTGAATTTTTTTTTTGTTAGTGTAGCGGGGTGAAATTTTTTTTCCCTAGTATAGCGGGGCGAAATTTTTTCGCTGCTGTAGGGCTGTGCGGCTATTTTTATTCAAAAAATGATATTAATTCATGCACATCCCGAACGACATTTAAATCTATTACATTCTAGGTTTAGGCGATGACAAAGACATCAACCAATACATTTTCAATAACTTCTACATTGTTTAACCTCATGAATCGGTTATTGAATTGTAATTTTTGTCCACCAAGGAGGGTGTTCGTGAGTCATGACTCATGAGAAGTTTTCTTAATATTACAATAGTAGTATACTAATATGTATGAGATTGTTATTTTTAGAATAATATGCACCACACGCACACACATATATATATATATGGTGCATATTATATTTTAATATTTTTATTAATTCTATAATAATTTAGAGTTTATTATTCATGCAATAAATTATTTTTAGAAAGCAAGAAGTAAATGAATTATGTAATCTAATGTCTATAAATATTTATATTTTGGATTCATTTCACGTGATCTAAAAATTGTGTAATTAGTGTGTCTGGTATTTAATATTGTTTGATATATGTTTTACGAAATCCAGTACTTGTTATCTAATAACGATAATTAAACATTACAAAACTAGGAATTCTTATATAATAAGTATCCTAAATCTTAAATAACGAGTTACTCTATTGTTTATTTGTTTAAGTTATGTAAATTATTTTAGATGTTTCTTCTTTTAAATCTCCAATTAAGTATTACATTATGTAAGACTATATATATTAATTTTGAAAATTAAAAGCTAAGGGGGGCGAATCTAATTAAATTATGAAAGTTTTATGAAAATATTACATATATGGTAAAAAAAATTGAATGTCCAAGGGGGGCGGTCGCCCCCGCCCCCCCCCCCCCTAAATCCATCCCTGTCTGGAATAATAGTTTGAGGAGTTTGAAATGCTTTACGTACTTCAGTAGTTCAGTTTGAGACTTTGAGTCGGTCAATATAAATTCGTCCGGAAAAAATTGATAATATTCCCTCTTGCAATCCATTTCCAATTTTTACAGCCTTTACAGATCATAACAGGATGTATTAAAGTGCAAGATACTACACAAGTTTGAAATAGTTGCATACGCATCACTTATTCACTTGATACGAAAGTAAGCTAAATGACATATTTCTGCCGTACTATGTCAATGTGAATATTGCAGTGTTCAATATTCGATTTAAAATCGTTTTTAAGACCGAAATCGACCGCCAAACCGACCAAAACCGAAACCGACCAAAACCGAATCCGATAAAACCGAAACCGACCGAAATTGACTAATTCATCGGTTATTCGGTTTACAGTTCGTACTTTTTGGCTTAAAAAACCGGTCAAATGAAAATAAACCAGCAAAAATGGCTAAAATTGACCAAAATTGCTCAGTTTTTGTGGTCCGATTCTCGGTTTCATCTATTTTTAATGCCGCTAAAACCGCCCGACTAAAACCGAAACCGATCAAAACCGACCGACTAAACCCGAACCGATAAAACCGAAACCGCCAAAACCGAACCGACGAACAAGGATACTATCCTATGTCATTAAAAAATAGTCTTCTGCTGGGGAAGGAAAAAACAGCTGGTCCAGTTCAGTTTCATCATGTCAGTAATATACACACGCAGTGAAGCATGTTTTGACCTAGAAAACAAACATGTAACACCACATTTAACTTCTCAGAATGGAAGCTTGCAACTTATTCATCATTTTCACTTATGAGATCATCATCATCATCATTGAATCTCTCAAAATCCTCATCCGAATCTTCATCTTCCTCTTCCTCCACCATGCTGCTACTTTTTCCCTTTTTATCCTTTAAACCGGTGTTCAAGACAACAGTTTCTCCTCTCGAACTATTCATGTCTCTCCTCAGCTTCTCCATATTCTCCAACCTGCGTTCTTCTTCCAGACGTTGTTTCTCTGCCCGCCTCTTGTCAAGTTCGGCTCTATAAAAATACAGCACAGATAAAATAAAAATAAAAACATTTTTCAATAGCTTTCAGGTGTCAATCGATTAGACGGTAACACTTCTGTTTTCGGTTTGTAACTATTCCAAACAGAAACAAGAAAATTATCTCAGGCTTTGTAGTGATTAGAGTTAGAGTTTAGGGTGATGGCTATCGGTGGCAGTGGCGGATATCCATCGTCCGACAGCTGTCCGGTGGCAATACGTAATAGCTTCAAACCCTACAAGGGTGTTTTTGTCCAACCACAAAGTATTACCCCCTATTTATGGAATTTTAAACATTAACCCCTATTTTTGCATTTTAGGTATGTTTTGCTCCTATTGTATGAATTTTTTCTTTTTTGTTGTCTTAGTTAATACTCCGTAAAACATTTGAGGTTCTTCAATATTATATGGACACAACATAATTCCATGACTATATAATGTTAACTATGCATCAACTATGCAATTTAGACTTGGCTCATTCTAGACCTCAGTCATACTTTACACTAACTCTAATAGTCTAAAGGGTAATTTTGTCGGCTGAGGATAACATTAGGTTCTTTCAACATTCTTTTGGACTCAGTGTGGTCCTTCAGGATGCAATCTTTTGCACGGATATTAGGTCCAGTAAACAGAGGCGAGAACCCAATTGAGTCTACATTTAGTGAATCATGATGATACCTCTTAGAGGAATAGAATATCAATAGCCGACACTATACAATGTGTAGGTCAGCGTAATGACAAAAGGAAATTACATCATGTAAGAACTATCCCTCCATTAGGGTCTTGGTTGCACGGATATGAAAGGCAAGACAACAAGAGGAAGCATATAGAGAGTTAAAAAAGAAAGAAAACACAGCCTAAGGAATCTATACAAGTCCAACGCTAAATTTACAAGTTTTAAATATATCAACAGGAACCGTAACTGCATAAGAAACTAAATTTGTTCAAATTGCATGGTTGAGGACCATATTGAGTAATACTCCGTAGCTTCTACTGTCTAGTAAGGAAGCTAAATCGTATACTAATTCAACTTCATAATAAATAGAACAAATCACATCCTTAATTCAGATAATATGTTTAATAATTAAGAAACTTGAATGCAAAACTAATTTTTTTTAAGAACATAAAACACAAAACAAGAGGATATTATCAAACAAATAGCGGATGAGCGGAGTGCAATTATAGAACAAACAGTGGATGAGCGGAGTACATACTTGTAAGTTTCCATGTACTCCTCAGCACTTGCGTCGATGGCCTTAAAGAATTCATCCATCCCAGCACCTGAAACTGCAGAGACTCCAACAGACTTGAGATTCTTGTAGAATTCTTCCAGTGAAAGGGACAGGCTTCGTGTCAGAGTCGAAGTGTAAGAGTTGTCTGATTCAAGTGCTGCATGAAATGCTTCAAAATCCTCCATCCACTAAGCTCACATAATGAGAAAGCAGGATCACCAATACACCTCAAAGTGTAATAAAAATAAATGTGTATCGTTCATGAAGTAACTTAACTCTCCACGATAGAGTACACTTATTACTTGGACTGTCATGATTGATGTGGAGGGTGGAAATGCTACTCCAAATAACCTGGACAGTTCCTATAGCAACTCCACCATGGAATAGAGAGGATTGATCTCCAATAGGACCCTATTTAGCCCTTTCATTTCCCAGTTTTTTATTATGATCATCTTTCTTTTCAAGTTATTAATTTAGCCTTTGTATTTTCATTTCATTTTAAAATGGCCATCTAACTTCTCGAGTAATCAATTCAGCCATTGTATTCTCTTTTTTGTTTCAAATCAGCCATTACACGACAGATTTGTAGTTTGCATTTATATGTGCACATCCAACAAAACTTAGAAGTTATTGAGTTATTGGTGTTCATAGAAAATTTTAGTGATGAATTAGATTCACTCAAAAACAAATCGATAAAGAAAACACATCTTTTCCTTATACACAGGATAGAAAAGCTCATCTCTTTCCCTCATCTACAATCTGAGCAGTGTATGCAACAGATTGAAAATCCTAATAGTCCAATGGTTGAAACCTGTATTTCCAATTTGCTACTGGTTGGCACTTCATGTGAATGTAGACAAATGTGTTCTATGTATAACTTTTAAGAATTTAAATGTTCAATTCTTTGCAATCATTTCAAATACGCACAAATAAATAATCCCTCTATCTCAAATATTTTGGCGTGCTTTGACTTATTTATTAAATTGTGTTGGTTGGGGTCAAGATGAGAGAAACAATATCAACATGAATCTATCCAAAAAGAAATAAAAACAGATTTTTGGGACAACTAAAAAAAATGGGAAGAAAATTATTGGACAAATGCTCCAAAAGTTAGATGATCATATATTCATATTGGAAGAAAATAAAATATAATGGTTAAATTGAAGGCTTGAGAACTTAGATGGTCATACTAAGACAATTGCCAAGTTGAGTTGGTAAATAGAGTGTTTTGCCAATAAGAGTGGTGAGGGGAGAAGGAAAGAGGGAAGGAAGCTCATGAAATTAAGGCATTGAGTAAATTTTGTGTTTGGTTCCAATGCAATCGTGAGAATAATTTTTTACTACCTCCATCCTTTAAAGCTTTGTCATCTCGCAAAGTTTGGACCACGATATTGATTATGATAATATTATGAAAGTTATAAATTTTATACTTTTATGAAAGTACTTTTAACAAAGGACAATTTCATATCATTTTTATATCATACATAATTTCCAGTAAAAATATATGGTTGGTCAAACTTTCAAAGATGGCAAAGTTTTAAGGGGCGGGGTAGTACAAATTATGTAATGGAGAAAAAAGCATTCTAAATGATAAAGTTTTTCATTCAGCAAGAATTTATAATTTGATCTAAATGTATAACACTAAGGATGTTTTTATTGACCTGAGAATTCCTAGTTTGTTGAAGTCTACTCTGGTCTGGTAGATGTCTTTCCATGTATATTTTACAACTATCGAAATCTGGTCTAGTAGTGTCTCGAGCTCAAACCAGTCTAGTTAAAAACATTCTAAATATAATGTAGATTGTAGAACCATTTAAGTATTAAAAAGGTGAAAGAATAAGAAAAAATAACTCTCCTCAAATTTGCCGGACTAGGGGAGTGAGTTATAAGGAGTTTCGACTTTCGAGGATTTTATAGCCCCTCCATTTTCTCCCCTTCCTCTAACTCCACAGACCAACTACACACAACTCTCTTTCTACTCTCCTCTCCAAAATCTTTGAACGTAAATAAACTAAATCAAAGTTTAGCTATACCTCCAAAGCAAATTGATGTTGTGCTACATCTGTCTTGTTGAAGGCCAATACGAGAGGCAGACGTGTCTTGTATAGGATGCTGCATGCGTAAAGCATGTTGCTCATAAAAGTGGCAGGACTAGCAGATCGTGGGGTATCAACAACATATGTTACCACAGTAGGAAAGGTAGATGCAAAAGCTTCTGTGATAATTGCACCAGAAGCAGACCATGTAAAGATTTCTATCTGACCAGGTGTGTCAACAAGAACATAGTCCAGTTCATCTGCCCGTTTTTCTATGACTGATATTACCTGCAATTTTTAGGAGACATAATCTCAGTCTCTCAAGAATAAGAAACATTAAAAGGTGGGGAAGTAACTTCCACAATTACACAGGGTCCATTTAACATGGAGAAAGCTAGGGATTGAAAACAGGGAGGAAAATATTAGGAAATTTTGGAAGAAAGTATTATGGAGCAGAAAAAAATGGTTTCAAAATGGGAAATGGGAAACGGGAAAGCAAGAAACGTGATGTCTAATAAATATAGGATGCGAAAAGTAGGGCAAAAACGTGTAAGTTTAAAAAATGTGGATATAATTATACATATTTTTATATATGTACACAGGCAGACAGGCTTTTCCATTTATATCTGCACATATTTATTTTCATATAACTTGTTTAATAACCCAATAATAAAAACATTCTACATATCCAAATTTAGAAACCATTACATATAAGTACATAATTAACCATAAAATGCAATACATTTTTAGCAATGCATTGCGTTATGAAATGTCACGACATTGCTAGGAAGAAATATCACAAAAAATCACTATTTTTTAAAAAAGGCACTATTTATATCACAGAATCACACAAAAAGAAAAAAAAAAGAAACTCAAGATTTCAGAAACGCTAATTATTTAGGGAAATAAGTTTCACAATTCTTCTTAACCATAGAAACAGGACCGAAACAGGAATGTGATGTTTCTGAGTTTCCGAAACGGGGAAACGTAGGTCACAGCAAGTTTTCATGATTCATAGCTTTTCACATTAAAAAGGTTCAAGGAAGGTTCATCCAAGAAAAATATTAAGGGACTGAATGATATTACAGATAGGGGTCAATAACACACAGTTACCTGGTCAGCCCCAGAAAAGTTTAAGGAAGGACTAAGCAACATGAATTGACAAGGGGCAGGAACAACATATAAAGTAAGGAAGAGAGATTTGTTTAATTTTGGTCAAAATTGAAAGAACAAAAACAAAAGGTTTACCTCATCAAACTTTGTAGCAAACAAGTTTAGAGAAGTAAGGATTCCTCCATTAGGACCTAGGTTAAATTGCTTCATAACCTCCTTGTAGCGAACTGTGTCTCTTATATCAATATTCGCTCCAAATGGAAGGGTCATCACAGCGGGATCAAGGTTCATTACATAACCTCGGATATTAGAAGCCATTGTGTGACATACAAGTCGATGTAGAAATGTAGTTTTCCCACTGCCTAGTTAAGAAATGTTTGCTTTAGAGTCCTTAAATATTAAGGAGTAAATGAAAAACATGATTGTACTGCAGATATTTGCAATCATTGTATATTACAAGAATAAAATAAATAATGTAGATACATTCTTGCAAATGTGAAATGTCCAACAGAATTACATTCAATACCTGCTCTTATATAATAGTAGTAATAATTAGCAAGGATATATTTTTAACTGAGTTGAAAACCCTGATGTGGTAGACTTACCTGCCATTCCAACCACAATGATGATAACTGGCTTTCTATTGAATTTAGATGAAGTCCCCTCAATCTGAAGCTTTTCCATTGAATTGGAAATGTCAACCTTCTGGATGCCCTATTATAAAGAGCAGCAAACAATAAGAGTTCGTAACTAGTGGGAATTTGTACATTTTGGGGTAAATTTTAAAAAATTGAAGAATTAAAAAGAGCATAATACTCGAATAGTGGTACCTTGCTTTCCGTTTCCATAGTGACCTCTTCTTCCTCAGATGATTTAGAATCGATGTCCATATATTAAGATTAGCAAAAATAGCAAAATACAGTCTCTTTTACCTAAGTGAAAGAGAAACAAATATATGATAGCTTATATGGAAGATGATGCATAGTGCATTACAACGTTAATCCTTTATGTGATACTAAGAATGTCTCTGCATGGAAGAACAAACCATTGTTAATCGAATTGGAAGGAGGAAACCATAGCTGAATGAAAAGCATTTGGAAGGATTTGTACGGGAAGTCTACTCAGTGTCTCACTTACCTTTGTAGCCTTTTGGGTCTATGAATGTTCTAAAATTCACTAGATGGTAGTCAGGCGGCCAAGCAAGGCCTAGTGCCTAGGTTGACTACTCACCACCTAGGCGCCGACTAGGGAACACGGAATATAATAAAATAGATGCATAATTAGTAATTTAAGATCACAGCATAGTGGCAAGATATCATGCCCATATTTAAACAATCCAAATCAGATGGAACTTGCAAAAAATTATACATTAATCATATTCCCTAGGAGCATTACAATTGTAATTTTATACGTATAAAGGAACTGTAGAAGATATTGTAATAGAGTAAAATTGTAATACTAAGACAATTTGGAACTAAAAGAAATTTTGTGGTAAGATTTCATCCGCCCAACCAACTGCAGTTAAAAATTAAGGTTTGTACTTCTTTGACGACTTTTCTCAAACACTTTCCTTGCAAACAAGAATTATGAGTTACCTTACACTATTTCCATAAGCTTCTTAATTCATACTACGTATCAATCATTCACAAACAATCATACGTAAAATACATTCAAATGTTTAATCAATAACCAAAATAAGATTTTATAATCATATACTGGGCTCTAAAGCCTAAAACATATTCCAATATTGCTAAAAATAAGAGAAAAATTGATGAAGATTGAAAAAACAATGAAGTTATGAAGGACTACCTACTGGGGCCTGGGGGTGCAGGCTAGTGGCAGACAGAATGAGAGAAGCTGCTGGGGAAGGGAGTGGCGCGAGAAGACGAGAAGGAGGTAAGGTAGAGAGAAAGAGGGTAGCGGGCGTAGAAGAGTGGAGCGTGGAAAATACGAGTAAAGAGACTGAGAATATATTTGACTAACAGCCCGTTTGGTGACCCTTTTTTCGGCTTATCAGACAGTTTTTTCATCAAACACGTACGGATTAATTTTTTATTTGGCTCACTGAATTGTGTAATAAGCAGAAAAAGTAAGGTTGGAGTTACTTTTCTTGTTGTATTGGTTGAAGTTACTGTAGAGGCTCATTTTGGCTATTTTTCATATACTACGTATTTTTTATTTTATTTATTAATAAAAAATATGTTTAATACGGTATAATTTTTCATGAATCAGCAGAATCAGTCAATACAACCACATCAGCTAGAACTTCATAAATTTCAGCAGAATCAGCCAATACAGCCAATTTTAGTGTTACCAAATGGCCTCTAACTGTGTTTTGTTTTAGACCGTAATTTACTGGTGTGATATGGTTTGATTTGATCTTCTTAAGTCTGGTTTTGTGTGATCAGAACTGGTTTGGTTTGATAAATGTATGGTTTCTGTGTATTTTATAACTATTCAAGTTTGGTCTAGTATGGTCGCGTATGTTTAAGGCTGGTCTGGTCTGTTTAAAACTGCTCTGATCAGATGTGGGACTAAGAACAGTCCAAAAGAAAACATATCATTGTCTAATGCTAAATTTTGAAGTGTAAAATCCGTAATACTTTTGAAAAATGAATGTATTACTAATTGAATGAAGTAAATGCGTGTTGGAGTTTATTCCCGAAGATCCGAAAGCCCAACACAAGCCTTGGATATTGTAGGGATATTGGGTAGGGTTGAAATGTGTATAAAATATAAAATAGTGAGATAATATTCAACTCAAGAACTTACTTATATTCAGTAATTAAGCAATTACACTGAAACTACCCGAACGGTAGCCGAATATGAGATTACAAGGATGGGAGATGTAAATATATTGTTTAAGCTCTGAGTATTAAAACGCTAACCCTTTACAATGATCTAAACATGGATATTTATACTAAAATGGGGATGGGTAAGGTGGACACGTGGTCGAATCTGGTAGGCTATCACCTCTGCCATGTAAGCACCCATGCCCCCACTTGCTGCTGTCATGATCCAGCATTAAATGCGGCCTCCACTTGCTGACTGCCTGTTCGGGCAAGGTGTTCGGTGTGTGGGACCCCGTCATAGGTGTTATCCTGCTTAGGAACACATCCCGAACGCCGATCGGTATCTCCGCCATAGGTGATTTGGCATAATTGTTTCCTGGAATGTTCCAAGTATAACTTTTATCCCGAATGCCGTTCGATAGTTCTTTTGGACTGCCTTGGGCCCGCTGTTTCTTCCTGGATTTGGGCCTAGGGATATTGGGCCTGGACCCAATATCCCAACACTAGTCCCCCACTTCCTATGTCTCGAACAGTAGTGAGAGCATAAGGAAGTAGAAGATTATTGCCCGAATGCTGTTCGGGTGAATATCGGATGGCATTCCGCCGGTTCCCGAGGCATATTTTGACGGTTATTTGCAACTGTCGTTTCACTTCTCCGATAAACGCCATGATTACCTGAGAAGGATTCTCTGTGTGACACGTGTCTCTGTCATCATTACAAAAAACGTGTCCTCTTCTGATTGGCAGCTGAATCGGCGTGACAGAGTATAAATAGGCTCCTCTGGTTTTGATTCTGGGTTTCGAAACTTTGCATCTCCGGCTCAGTACTCTGCCTTCTCTCTAGAGCTTCTTCCGCTGCTTCTGTTCAGGTATCCTTCGAACCTTCTTCTACTGTCTAGTTTCCTCGTTCGGTGAGAATGGCACCCCTTCGTTCATCTGAGCCCTCTACTTCCGGCACCGCAATCCCAGAGGAAAACCCCAACGATGTGCTGCAAGTCGCCCCTATTCCGGCGGAAGCTAACGGTGATGATTCCTCTTCCTCCTCCGACGTTTACCCTGATGGCACCAAATCGGGGGATGAATTGGAAGTTATGAAAGCCGGTCCTCCAAGCGGCGTTTCCTGTCATAAGCTTGACCTAGCCCTGATTAGGCTTAGGCGCCAAAAGCTCACGGCCCAGAACCGGGCCCAAATCCAGATGTTACTTCCTGATTCGGTGAACTTCCGCCTCCAATCGGGGCTCCACCCAATGCGCCACTTCCCAGGGATGGTCGTGGTCCATTTTGATTCCCTTAAGGCCGGCCTTAGGTTCCCCCTTCACCCCTTCTTCGTTTCCCTCTTAAATTATTATAATATAGTGCCAGCCCAAATAATGCCGAACTCCTACCGGGCAATGGCTGGTTTTATTTGTCGTTGCGTGGAAGCTAAGGTGACCCCTTCCTTAGATCTGTTTCACTACTTTTTCTCGATCATCCCACAACAAGCCCAGGGTTATCTCGTCGCGAGTTCCCGATCAGGTCATATTTTGTTCTCCAAGGCTCCCTCCTCCATCAAGGAATGGAAAGATCGGTTCTTTTTTGTATCTGTCCCAACCGGCCTGATCCCAAGAAAGTGGAACGCCTTCCCGCCAAAGTCCCCCGAACCGTTCATCTCTGAAGACCTTAGCCAGGATATCATTGCTGTGGAGGCGGGCGGTTGCTTCCAGATTATGCCATATCTGACTCCCGAACGGCTTATTAAAGCCGGGATAGGTACTGCCCGTATTCCTGGACTTACTTGACTGAAAACCAAGTACCATGGCCCGGGCGGTCCTTCCCGTGTGATGTAATTCTTTAATCCACGTGTGAACCGCTCGGTACTAATTTGTTCCTTTTGTCATTTCAGCTCCGAAGCAAGGCGAATCTTCAGATTCCGAAGGAGACAACCCCGAACCGCCGGCAATGGATGACAGCAGGCTCTTTACTGTGGGATTTGACGATGAGCCACCAACCTCTCCCCCCAAGCAGCAGAGAAAGACAAAGAGGAAGAGGCTGAGGAAGGCCGATCAGGGGACATCCTCTCAATCCGCCCCCATCGTCCCCGAGCAGTCTGAACCTGTTCGGGATGTAGAACCTGTGCAGCAGGTTGCCCCTGAGCAGCAATCTTCACATGCTGATATGCTGATGGATCAGCTCTTCTCTGATCAGCAGTCTCACCAATTTTCTGCTGAGGAACTGGCCGCCGACCAGGCTGATTTGGCGAGTCAGTTTGGGCAGATCTCCCTTCAAGATCCCGCTCACGGAATGCTGGAAAGGGGAGGCTGTCCAGCAAGCCAGATTTGGTCCACCTCGGGCTTCTTCAATGGGCATAACCTTCCTCCGATGCCGGTTGAGGAGGCCGAAGAGTGTATTGCCTTGGCTGCCCTGAAGGTAATTTCTTATCACCTCTCTTTTTTCGGTTGTTCATTGATTTACCAGGCTCTTATTTCTTATTTGTACTCGATCAATAGGTGGGGATCTACAGCCTGAAACTGAGAGAGGCCAGGCAGGCCAAGGAACAAGGGCTGCTGATGGCCAAGGAAACGGCTGAGCAGGCAGTGGAGGCTGAACGACGAGCATTTGCCGAGGAGCGGAAGAGGCTAGAAGCTGAGGCTGGGGAGCTTCGTGTGAAGGTGGGCTCTCTCCAGGCCAAGATCGCGGCAGCTGAGGCCGCTCAGGTCAAGTTTTCTGAGGCCCCTCCTCAAATCCCGGACGGCCCGGCTGAAATGTTAGTTGATCTATCTGCCGTTCGGGATCAATTCAAGGCTTCCGAGGAGTTCCTGGCTCTAAAGGAAGAATATGCCACCGAACAGCTCCCTGCTGTCTTCGGAAGGCACCTGGAGAAACTGGCCGGGGAAGAGCGCCAGAAGGAGGGGGTCAGGGTGCTTGATCAGCACCCTATCACCAAGGAGTGGGCGGATAATCTTGCCCGGGGAGTCTACAACTCAGGTTGTCAACACATGCTCCAGCCCCTCCTCCCCCTCCTGGAAAAACAGATGGGCCGTCCGGTGCAGCCCTCTGACTTGCCCTCTGATCTCCATCCGGGCCATCTGAACGCCCTAATGGCACAGATGAAAAAGTGCCGGCGAGCCCTGGGGATGGAGGTGGTGCAAATTGATGATGAGGCTGATGAAGACGATGATGAAGATGATGAAGATCACCCCGAGCAGTAGATTAGACATTATTTGTATTTACTTTCCTTTGAATCAGTAGTTTTTGTACTTTCCGGCCAGTAGAGCCGATGAATACACAACTTGTTTTGCAACTTCTGTCTTTGTAATTTCTTTTCCTGTATTCCATACTTGTTTTCTCACCCATCAATTTGACTCCATAGTTTATAGCGATCAGATTTGCCGGTCTGCGTCACCCCTTTGCTAAGTCCAGAAATATTGATCGACCTGTTTATTCGACATCATTCATAATGAACTCCATAGTTCATTATGGAGTATAAACTATGTTCCCTTTTTTTTTTTTTTTTTTTTTTTTTTTTTTTTTTTTCTCTCCCCATCTGTTTGGGGTATAAACTCCTGTACTTTCCTCGTTAATTTTTCGGTAATTGTTTCCCGCATTCGGGATGTAGTGTTAACCATACTGTTCGGGTACACTGATCATTCCTCATTATGTTTCGGTGTATCCCGTTCGGGGAAACGCTTGTACCCCCTTTTCTTCTTCTTTTTTTTTTTTTTTTTTTTTTTTTTTTAATCGTAGAGCTTCGTGAACTTTGTTGATTTCAACCCGTTCTCCTCGTTCGATCTAGACTTCGGAATTCGATAATCTTGTTAACACATGTTGCGTGTAATGAACCGTTCAGTCTGCACTTGTGCCCTTTTCATTGTGTTCGATATTTGGTAAGTACTTTTGCTATCCTTGTTGCATCACCGTTCGGACACGCCCATCATTTTATCACCGTGCTAAATTTTCTTCCTGTTCGGGGAAACGTTTGTAGCCTTTTTCTCTTATCCTGTCCGGGGAGACGTTTTAAGAGGTTCGTGAATTCTGCTGACCTCAACCCCGTTCGGGTGTTCACTCACCCCAAAGGATGCTTTAACTTCCCTCAACCGTTTTGACACGTGTCTATTATTCATTCGAATTCCTGGCGGTTGTATTTCCTTATATAAGGATGCAGCTACTTTGTTTCAGGTTTTTCTGCTGCTTCTGAATT